GTGTGTGTGTGTGTGTGTGTGTGTGTGTGTGTGTGTGTGTGTGTGTGTGTGTGTGTGTGTGTGTGTGTGTGTGTGTGTGTGCGTGTGTGAGTGAGTGAGTGTGTGTGTGTGTGTGTATAACAACGCACAGCTGCAGTGACGGTGGAAAAAATATTCGCAGGCGGAAAACCAAATGCATCATCACCGCATGCTATCATTGCTGTTACCTGCTTGCACCTCTGGCGAAGGCTGGCTGGCCTGTTCAGAGCGGGCAGGTGCCGGCTGCTGCTGCTTCGAGCCCTCATCTGTTGCGCTTGGCGCCTTATCGCCCTTTGCTGACGGCGGCGCCTTGGCTTTCATCTGCCGCTTCCGGCTGCTTGCTCCCTGCTCTTCATCAACGCCATCACCCTCATGGTCATCATCGCTACTGTCACCGTCATCACTGCTCTCGTCACTGCTCACTTCAACAACCGGCGCTGCCTCCTTGTCCTTGTCGCCCTGCCCAGCCTGCTTCATGCTCATCTTGGGAAACCAGGCAAGCATGCGTTTGCAGTGAGAACATGTGTGTGTGTGGCAGTTAGAGACAACACACCATGTCCGTTTTGTTGTTTGGGGGGGGGGAGGCAAGGACATGGGCGAGCGCCAACCACAAGTGGCTGGATTGGTGCAACAAACCTTCTTGAAGTCGGGAGAGCGGACCTTCTGCTCCGCCTCTCGCTCAATGGCATCCCAGTTGCGAATCTGTAGGCAAGCGAGGCATGCGCACGTGAGATGACGTGATGGAAAAAGCCTCGGGCAAGCAGCAGGTGAAGACGAAGAGGTGTACAGGAGGTGGACTTGATCGTGCTAGTGGGGAAGTGGGAGAACAAAGGCAATTTGTGGGGAACTGGAGTGTAAAACAACAGCGACAACGACGACGAAGACGCGTGTCGACGAACCCGAGACTTGACGGTGAGGTGCAGCGGGAGGGCGTGCGACTCGTCGCCCTTTGACAGTTCGTCTGCACAGCCATCGAGTGAGTGAAGGTGAGTGAAGGTGAGTGAAGGTGAGGGCACCCACTCTACAGCAAACGTGAAGCACGACGAACGACACACACACACACACACACACACACACACACACACACACACACACACACACACACACACACACACGCACGCACACACACACACACGCACACACACACACACACATACTCTCAGAGCTACGCGCGATCACGACAACCAATTGTGGGCATGCGTGAACCGCACCAAGAGCGATGCAGAGGTTGACGGTGGTGGCAGCTTGGTGGAACGACGGGGGCGACTTGCCGTCCACTTCCTCCGGCTACAAGAGGAAGAAGCAGAGGAATACCAAGGAGAGGAACAAGGAGAGGAATGAGAACGTGCGAAGACGAAAGGACAAGGGGGCGACACAACGCAGTCGTACCACACAAGGCGGGGTGCTGAGCAGAAACCACATCATCATCGTGCCACGCTAAGCGCATCCCCTTTCACTTGGTTATGTCTGTGGCTTCCGGCTGCTACATCAGCGCCCAGCTCAAGCAGTCAACCCTCACATGACATGACGTACAGCTAATGGGGACCGCACCGAGCGCGCTCACCTGCTTAAACGCCTCTGGGAGGTCCTCCTTTAGCGCAGCAATGAGGCGGAAGAGCTCCTGCCGCCGCGCCTGCAGCGCTTCGTCCTGCACAGCGACAACGGCTGGGGTATGAGAGGCATTCGTGTTCACGTGCATGTGCATGTGCGTGTGTGTGTGTGTGCGTGTGTGCGTGCGTGTGTGTGTGTGTGTGTGTGCGTGCGTGCGTGTGTGTGTGCGTGCGTGTGTGTGTGTGTGTGTGCGTGCGTGCGTGTGTGTGTGTGTGTGTGTGAAGAGGAGCAGGTGCATGGGGGCACGTGCATTTGAATGACAGGCCAAGCACGCCACAACCGTTGGCACACATACACACAGAGCGACACACGACCAGACGACAACAGAAAACCACATACACCTCACTCTCACTCACACACCCGCACTCACAGGCTGTGCGCACCTTTGAGTGCCTGGAGCGCATGGACCAGAGGAAGAGGGTGGCGAGGCAGCGGTTGAGGAGCGGGGCGTGCTCCGTCAGGGCAGGGCGGTATTTCTTCTCAAGCAGTACCATCATCGCGTCATAGTGTTTCTGACACGGCGGTGGTTAGGTGAAGCGAGGTAAGGTGAGGTGAGGTGAGAAAAGGTGAGTGGGTTGAGTGGGTGAGTGCATGCACGTGCTCTGTGTGAGTGAGTGTGTGTGAGCTTGTGGTTGCGTGAGTGCACGCCTGTGTGCGTGTTGGTGCAAGAGTGTGTAGGAGAGCAAAACAGCATGCAGGTGTACCGTACAGCTGTTGCTAGCGCAGCTACAATGCACCAGACCACGGCTGACACGTGCGCACCAGCTTGTCGAGTGTCTCGTGGGCGTTTGCAATCTCCAGGAGAAGAATCATGTCCACGGTGACATATGTGAGCCGCCAGTCCTTGAGCGTCTCCAAGCTGTGCTGCATCAGGAACAGCATTTGCTTCGCCAGTCTCCCGTGCTCCGCAATCTACGCGCCCATATGTGTTTGTGTTTGTGTGTGAGTGTGTGTGTATGTATGTGTATGTGTGTGTTTGTGAGCAGACGAGGAAGCGAGGGGAGCAGACTGATGCGTCAGGCTGCTTCAGGAGAGCAACCACACACACAGAAGCACAGAAGCACAGAAGCACAGAAGCGCAGAAGCGCAGAAGCGCAGAAGCGCAGAAGCGCAGAAGCGCAGAAGCACATACACACACACACACACATACACACACACACACACACACAAAGGTACACACACACACACGCACACACACACACCTCCTTCAAGTGCTGGGTTGAAGCGGTTCGCATGACGTTGTGGAGGACCTGGCACACAAGAAGCGGCATCATCTCATCGCGACCAAGCTGCATGCCAGCCTCAATTGCCGGCAAGAACCTGGCGTGGAGCAGAAAACGGCCACGCGGACACACCATCGACAAAACCAACAGTGCACGCATGATCACTCCGTGTGTGAGGTGCTGCAAGTATCAGTCCCACAATTGTACGGAGGTGGCAGGTGCACCTGCTTCACCATTTCAAGAATGCTACGCCGTGCTCACTTTTTGTTCGTCAGAATGAGTCGCCCCAGCTTGTGAGACAGCAGGTTTTCATCTGTTACAGAAGAGCAACACGGGTGGCAACGGTGAGCTGCAGCCCATCATCGTGCAGGAGTACACACACACACACACACACACACACACACACACACACACACACACACACACACACACACACACACACACACACACACACACACACGCACGCGCGCGATCACCCTCGATTAGGTGTGCGCTGATACCTTTGAAGAGCATGCCCATGAGGGTCATGCCCATGCTCATGGCTTTGTGGGCGGGTTGGAGGGCATTGACAATCAAGGGGATGCCGCCGAGCTCAACCAAGTGCCACACTGCAGCAATGCGCTGCTTCTCGTTCATGTTGCGCAGCAGGTGGATGTTGGCAAACGCATACTCCAACTGACAAAGTGTGCGTGTATGCGAATGGTTGCACCAGTGACACGATGTGGGAAACAGACAAGCAGTAGTGGAGTGAGGGAGAAAGGGGACACGACGAAGGCGGTGACAAGGGGCAGTCAGAGTGATACATGTTACACAACGTGGAAAGTATGGGCCTATGGTCACACCACGCACGCAAAAACACACAGACACATGACACGTGACACATGACACATGATACATGACACGCGTATGCACACACGGCACGCAGACACGTGTGTATGCAACACACACGTGTGTAACGCACCAGGTTGTTAAAGGCTTCATCCGTGTGCTTCTCTGGGCTGTTTGCCTCGCGTAGGACCGTGAACAGCGCCGACCCGAGCTCCGTTGCACTTCTTCCAGCCATTATTGTTGTTGTTTTTGTGTCGAGTGTGGGTGGGAGGGATGTGGCTTGCTAACAGCAGTCGAGTGAGTGCAAGGAAGGTCGGGCACAGAGCACGGCACGGCCGGGCAGTTGCAGAGAGCAGCGTCCGCGACGATGCACAGGTCACGACAGCACAAAGTGTGCGTAAATTCAGCACAGAAAACAAGACTAACACGAATAATTGGCGAGAGAAATTCCGTGGAAGTTGTGTGCAAAACATCGTCTACACGAATGCAAACGTGCAACTACGCAAGAAGCAACAGTGTGCGCCTGCGTGCGTGGCAGCGAAAAAATCAACAACGTTTGCCATTTCCCCATCCTTGCACGCCAACCTCAGATACCATCCGTCCATCAACAACCAGAGGTGAGCGGCAACGTGCGTGCAGCGCTACAGCTGGTTCCTCTCTCTCCTCATGGCTTGAGTTCCATCCCTCTCTATTCGTCGCTCCCCCCTCTCTCTTCTCTCTTGTTGTTTCGCTTTCTTCACTTGGTTTCCTCCTTTCGTTGTCAGCCCACGGTTTAGTCAGTGCAGCTAGATGAAGCACAACACAGCGGAGAGGAACAGGAAGACAACAGCAACCCGCCATGCGGTGTTTGTTTGTTGCCTTCCTTCCTTCCTCTTCTCTTGAGTGCTTCGCTTTCTCTTTGACCCCGTTTTATCTGCGTGTTACAATCGTGGCATATTTACACTTGGCGGCGGCGGCCTTGCACTCGCCCAGGCGTTTTGTCTGGGCACTCGCTTGGGGCCACTCGAGTCGCCGCCTCGTGCGCATGGCGAAAGTCGGCACGACACTTTCTTCTTTCCCGTTGTCGTTGCCATAGTATTCTGTGCGACACCCCCTTTCCTTCTTTCCTCTCAACATCCTTTCCCATCTCTTATCGCCCTCATCAACGTCTCCCTTGTTGGCAAGCTCCTCCTCCCACTATTCCTCCCACTATTCCTCCTCTTCTTCACCCTCTGCGACGGTGCGTGTTTTGCTTGTTCTCTCTTGCACCGCACCTTCTCACGACGACTGCCACCACCGACCCATCCCAATTAGCAGGCACTCCTTGCTGTTTGGTTTTTGCGACCCCTGGCTGTTGCCCGCCTACCACCGTTCCTCGTGCTTGTTTCGTTTGAGCTTCCTCGAGCCACTCGCAGCGCCAAGATGTCCCAGGTGTACAGGGCATTGAGGCATATGTCTGCCATCCCGTTGCGTGCCGTCACCAAGCCATCAAAGGCCCGCGCGCCAAAAGCCGTGCTTCAAGTGGTGAGCGGGTGAACAATTGTGGTGTCATGTGACTTGCGGATGTGCCTGCTCTTTTGGGTCCATGCTCTCATATCCTGCGCTCACCCGTCTCTCATCCGTGTTTCTCTCCACTCGCTGCCTTGTTGCCACACCCACAAGACCCCGGCCGCTGCAGACAGAATCAAGACCCTCTTGAAAGACAAACCAGATGCGGTAAGGCGGCATGCGCTTGTATGCTTCTATGCGTGTGTGTGTGTGCATGTGCTTGTCTGTCTGTGCATGTGTGCTTGTCTGTCTCTGTGCATGTGTGCTTGCCTGTCTCTGTCTCTGTGTATGTGTGCTTGCCTGTGTATGTCTGTGTGTGTGTGCGAGAGCACCCAGTTTCTGTGGACATCCCACAGCCCTTCTTTGGCTCACCTACTTCAATGCGTTCTTTGTTGTGTTGTTGTTAGGTCGGCCTTCGTGTGAGCGTACGTGACAGAGGATGCACAGGCAACTCATTCCACCTGGACTACGCATACGACAAGGACGCGAAGAAGTTTGACGAGGTCATCGAGCAACACGGTGTCAAGGTCATTGTGGACTCTGGTGCCATCCTCCGTGTCTTGGTAAGCACGCATGTACGTGTGCGTGTGTGTGCATGTGCATGTGCGCGCGACTGCAGCTGCTGTGTACGTGGCTCCTCATACCCTTTGCGCCTTCCTCCAACCAACGACACCCTGACTGCACTCACTTATTCAACCTACATCCACCTATATCCGTTCATCTCTTTGCCTTTCACTCAACTGCCCTGCAGCACTCGACGATGGACTTTAGCGAAGGCGATGAGGCCGAAGGATTTGTGTTTGAGAACCCGCAAGCGAAAGGCACCTGTGGCTGCGGCGAATCGTTCTTCTTCTAGCTCGCCTACCCCCTACCCATATGGATTGTCCACCAAACCACTGTCCGCTTTGACCGTTACCGCCAGCCGTGCGCTTGTTGCGCGCTTTTTTGTCATGCCGTGTTGCATACTCTACCCACACGACGCCCACTATTGTCCCCCACCGTGTTCACCACTTCACGGTGACTCGCCCTTGTGCTTTTAATTGACACCCGCCTCCTTGGTTATGGTTGTTTTGTGCCACGCACGCCAGTGCTGATTGCTTTCGCTGTGCGGGCTGTGCTCAGGTGTGTGTGTGCGTGAGGTGCTTTAATGGATCAGATAACACTAAACGATATCGATTGCATTTATCATCATTCGGTTACAAGGGCTCAGTGTGTGTTTGAGAGAGAGAGAGAAAAGAGAGCGCGCGCGCGTGCGCGTGTGTGATTGTACGATCTAGCTTGGAAGCGTGCGTTTTGTCAAGAGGTGCGAGTGTGAATTGTGATGGTGGTGTGATTACGGCGCGTCGAGCGGGGCGTGTGCCTTGCTGCGGCGCAGGAGTGTGAGTCGCAGGTTCCTGGTGGTCCACACCACCGTCATCGCCTCTGTGCTGAAGCCTGCAAGCAACGCTCCAATCCCCATCACAGCCCCGTGCAGCCCTTTTGGTGTGTGTGTGTGTGTGTGTGTGTGTGTGTGTGTGTGTGTGTGTGTGTGTGTGTGTGTGTGTGTGTGTGTGTGCGTATGTGTGTGTGTGTGTGTATGAAAACGGGAATGTGTATTGGCTGCGGTGTAACGTGACTCAACAACAGCGATGATACTTCCCACCGCAACCGCCTCCTCTGCCACTCACCGAACAGCGGCAGGAGTGTGCCCGCAATGACAACGGCACCGAAGCGAACAAACGCAGACGACGTGAGAGAAGACGTCTGCTTGATGGCGGTCGCCCAGCTGCAAACATTGTGTGTGTGTGTGTGTGTGTGTGTGTGTGTGTGTGTGTGTGTGTGTGTGTGTGTGTGCGTGTGTGTGTGTGTGTGTGTGTGTGTGTGTG